GGGGGAGGCGGCTCGCAGCCCGCCCTGCAGGGGCCAGGAGGCACCGCGGACCCCCAGACAGGAGCGAGAGCTCCAGAAAACGCCGCCCCAAGGGCGCCCAGGGAAAGGTGGAGGATTTCTCCCCGTTCCCCCACCTCCTGTCCCGCCGGACGGCAGCGATGGGCACCGCCTCTGCCGGGTACCAGTACCTCCCAACAACCGGACTGGGCATTTCTATAGGTGCACGCATAAAAACATACATAGGGCAATGTGTGCTCGCAGCCCAGAAAGCCGACCGCATCCTGGACCGCATCGAAAGCGGCGTGGCCAGCGGGTCAAGGGAGGGGATTCCACCCCTCTGCTCCACTCTGGTGAGACCCCACCTGGACTACTGCATCCAGCTCTGGAGTCCCCAACATAAGGAGGACATGGACCTGTTGCAGCAGGTCCCGCGGAGGCCAGGAAGATGATGAGAGGGCTGGAGCACTTCTCCCATGAAGACAGGCTGAGAGAGTTGGGGTTGTTCAGCCTGGAGAAGGCTCTGGGGAGACCTCACAACAGCCTTCCAGTGCCTAAAGTGGGCCTACAGGAAAGATGGGGAGGGACTTTTTACAAGGGGATGTAGTGATAGGCCGAGGGGGGAATGGCTTCAAACTGGAAGAGGGTAGATTTAGATTAGGTATGAGGAAGAATTTTTCATTATGAGGGCGGTGAGACACTGGAACAGGTTGCCCAGGGAAGTTGTGGATGTCCCATCCCTGGGACATCCCTGTTCAAGGCCAGGCTGGATGGGGCTTTGAGCAACCTGGTCTAGTGGAAGGTGTCCCTGCCCATAGCAGGGGGGTTGGAACTCGGTTATCTTCCAACCTAAATCATTCTATGATGTCATTATATAGAGAGAGTACACATTACAGAAAGTTGTCAAGACTCAGTGAAGGCACCGAAACCCTTGCATACTTGGTGCTACAACTTCGGCCTCTGCACTCTCTGGTTAAGGGAAAAGCAGCTAAATGTGTGTTTACACATCTAAACAGGGACAGAACAAGGTTTCTAATTAAATTACAAAATCTGAAACTTGGGAGTTTCAAGGTACAATCACCTTTCCTCCAGTTCAGGATTACATCAGCATTTTAGCATGTCAGACCCGTACCAAGTCCTGACTGACAGAAGCCTTTCATCCCTTCACTTTTGCTCTTCCTTTGATATTCCTTTCCTCCAGCCCCCAGCATCTGCTGCCTTCTCCCTTGCTTTCCACAGACACCCTCCTGCAGTCTCACTTTTCTCTCCACTGTACCCTTGGTGCATTCTTCTCCTGCCGAGTAATGTTTCCAGTCTACAGGCAGCTCTTTGGCATGTAGCAAAGAGATGAAGGAGGTTCATACAATCAACATTATTTATATGACATTTTAGTTTAGAATGAACAAATATTTTCTGTTTGTGAAGCACTTTTATTAGAAAAAAAAATACTATGAAAAAGGTTGTATAACAAATATCATCTCTGAAGTTGGTCAGAATTTTTCAAGTTGCAATTCAAATCTGAGGGTTGGGGTTTTTCCCCCCCAAAGGTCAGAACAGCTTATGTGAGTCATGGTTTTGTTCATTTTTATAACCAGAATGTCCATGTTCAGAAGTTCTTGCAAGTATCTACATGAAATCCTACGACTGAATTTCATATCCCAAAGGATCAAGATCCTGGTCCAGAAGCATCAGAGAGGATTCTCTCAATTTCTGTAGGAGCTTTCGGAGTTCTTCTTTTGAAAATACCTAGAATTAAAAAAAAAAAAACAAAAAACAAACGACACAAAACCAACCACATAGTGAAGTTATATTTATTTGCAATAAATAGCACTGATATAAAAGTAAATAGTGGTTAATTAAGTTATTTCTTTCTTTCTCTCCCTCTTTCTTTCTATTTAAGACTGTGCAAACATCAGACATTTCAGAATGGTGTTTAATAAAGGACTGGAAGCTAGTAGCAGTATCCAAAACCTGAAGGTAGTCTCAAGATAGCTCTGTCTCATAACTACTACAGAGATTATTGGTAAACAGCCAAGTTTAATTTTCCTGTTATTGCTGGCAGAGATCTTGAGACAATCCAGGTGAACGCATAGCATTATTTTTCCCACCCTTAATGTTTCTTTTCAGATTTCTAATCCTTGGGGTTTTTTGGGGGGGGAGTGTTGTGGTTTAGGTTTTCTTTTGTTGTTGTCATTAGGTTGGGATTTTTGTAAGTGATAAAGTTGTTTTTCAGGCTTCTGGAGAGAAAGAAGGTTAGGTAAACCAAGTACTCTAAAACAAAAGCTGCTCCTGCGATGTGCTGAAATGTAATGGAAATTTAAAAAAAAAAAAAAAAATCAATTACAATTCTACGGTTCAATTTAGAATCATAGAATTGTCCAGGTTGGAAAAGACCTTTAAGATTATCGAGTCCAAATGTTAAACTTATTTCAGTAGCCCCCATCCAAAAATTAGTAACTGCACTACTCAGAAGAACTGCTTGTCAAAACACTGGCATCATCTTCAGTGTTGTGAAGTTAACTTTTTGATTCCTTAAGTCAGCATAGAAGGAAACCCTGAACTATTGCAGTGAATGGGAAGAGATAGAGAAACTCATGATGTTAAGGAACATATGGCGTATTCCTCTCTATATAGAAGCTTTCTCCACAGTCAACCCACAGAGCTTTTAAATGGAAGTTAAGCTGCCTGCAGCTCTCAATAACTCACCATGTAAAGCTTGTGTCGCTCAGAAGCCACCATGTCAGCCAGTCGTAGGCACTCCTGATACTGTCCAGTACTATGTAACACCGTGTGCAGTAAAAAGCACATCATCGGCAGACACAGCTTTCGCAACAAAATCATCTGGTGCGTTCGTTCAGGGTCATCCTCGGCATCCTTGCCATAACAAAACAGTATATTAGTATTATGAACATTTACCTTTAAAAGGCAACTCGGCATAACCACCTAATTGGTAGCATCAGAGGCAAAAAAACTGGACTAACCAGCCTCGACTGGACTGACAGATCCAATTTATATGGTAACTGAAGGGGAAGCAATCTGTAACTGGTCACAGCAAGGCCAGAGTGAATTATAACTGAGTAAACAGAAGCACATCAAACTAAAGATGACAAAGGTACAACTGGGTACAATCTGTGCTTTGTGGCCTATGCCATGATATAAAAATTCATTTTACCTCTCTAACGTCAACCATCCATCCTCCATCAACAAAGAGCAACACATTGTACATTTTCTCTTTCACATCAGCTGTAAGAGCATCCAAGAGGCCTTTCCAAATACCATAGTCCATCTGGCAAAGAAACAAAAAATAAACTACTGCAGATCAGGACAATTTCCAAAGCTATTTTAACACACAGTCTTCACCTAGCATGCAACAGCCAGCGCAGCTCCAATTCAAATTAGAATCTTCAGCCAATTGCCAAAATCTAAAAGCCTGCTGCTAACAGCTATTTCCATCCTTGCTTAATTCCCTGTCCAGAGAGTCAGACAGGTTGTTCAGAAGCAGTCGAAGCCACTAGAGGAAGATAATTTTAAACAACTTGTTCTGCCATGCTTATATAAGAAATATTTGTACAAACTGAACACAGTATATTCATACTGGCCAGACATGCAAAAAGAACTTTTGGCAAAACAAACTGCAGCATCTTTTAGAGAAAAAAACACAGCAAATGCAAGAAAACAAAACAACCTTCATCCCCCGTTTCCAGGGAAGAGATAGCAGCAAAATCAAGTACTCAGATTTATTAATGACACCGATAATCAACACATTATAATGGATATCGCCTACTACATTATACAATGCTATATGTAAAGCTGAGTCACATAAGAAAAAAGCATGAAAATTTGTTGTTCAGCAGCATTACTATTCTAACTCCCTCTTTTCAACATAAAACCAGAATAATTTATAATAGAATTCTCAAGCAATATGAATTAGCAGTCTTGTACCCTGTTTCATTAAACTAAGACTGCTCCCTAAGCAAGAACATAAATGATTAAATAACAACTTGAACTTTCACCTACCTCGTACTTCTTTTGTTTATGTTCATGGGCCACTTTTTCAGTGAAACTTGCTTGTGGTAACAAAGAAGGCTTCTGTGGAGCTGAGTTCATGTGTTTAAACCATTCGTTAAAGGTTTCGTGGGCTTCCTGGATTGCATTGGAAACAGTGTTTGGACATTTTTGACTCTTATTATAACAAGAATGTCATTAAATGCACAGAACTTAAATCAAACAAAGCTTAAAGTTTCACCACCAAGGCAAAGCCACCATTATTTCTAAATAATGACCTGGAATACAGCATAGTTGAAACTCACCAAATATGCCCGAATACATAAATGTTCCCGTATAGCATTGTCATCTTCAGCTGGAAGTGGAGTATCCATTCCCTGTTCTTCCCATTGGTTATATATTTCTGCTATAGAGTCTTGGGGAATCTTCACAAACACATCTTTTGCAGCTTCATGTTTCTTGGATGCTATGAGAATGCGAACCGTGTATCAACAGCTTTGCAATTTCCATACTTTATTTTTATAAATTGACAAACCCATGCTTTTTATTAGACTAGATTCAAAGTTGTATCAAATGTACTGCCAAGAGCCAATGAGAACAAAATCAACACTTAAAAAGTCTAAAATATTTGTGAAGTTTAGTACCCAAGAACTTCCTCATGATTGCATTGCTTTGCTTAAGTGCTTCTGCCCTCTGTGCGGGATCAAATACGAGCCAGTCAATTACATCTATTTTCAGCCGGTCTGCCTGTAAAAAACAACATATAGAATCACTAACATTTCAAGCATACAGCTGATGTTAGACACATCAAGTCTGGTCAATGAAATACACAGGTTTCTAGAGATCTTTGGATAGCATTACGACATACTAACAAGGACCAGTCTATTCACAATTTCAGCATCAAAAGCATAGACAACAACCTCTGCAATCCAGAGTCACTGAAAAATCTACTTCTAAGTATTCCCAAGCTATTCAGACCAATGGATGAGCACCAGTTCTCACGAATTGTTATGGATTACCGTGCATCTTCCTCAAACTTTAATATGAATCACTGTACAAACATGGTTTATGGAGCCCTTGCGATCATCTTCAGGGGTGCCATCAGCCTGCAACCGCAATTTTCCAGCTCTTGCGTTAGATAAACTACCTATTTGGCTTAGACAGTTTAAATTTTGTACCAAACAGCAAAAAAATTGCCACAAGTTTGCA